AGTCTGGCTCATGATAATTTGATGATTAGTCCAGCCAGAGGGCCTGTCCTGTCTAAAAAAAAAAAAAATACAAATTGTCGGCCGCTATGGAGCTCCTTTTGGTGTTCCAGGCAGGACGTGTGAAGTGCTTTATCATGGTATTTTTATTATTTTACAGCTGAGGGGATGGGGGGTCTAGGGAGGTGAAGTAACCCACCTAAGACGACCTAGTTAGTAAGTGGCAGAGCTAAGATTGGATTTGACTATAGATAACCTGACCTCAAAGTGAGAACTTTGCTTGTCTCTCCAGATATGCTAATGTCTAGTCTTTGTCGGAATTCTCCATCCCTCTCTGCCAGGTGCGGGCACACACAAGGCATTCTGTAAGCCCAGGTGGTTTGGCGCCCTCTTGGGACAGTGAGCTTGTTGCTGGTAGTTAACCGTGACAGTGTAGATGTCGCAGCTTTCTGAGTATTGGCTTTTGACTTAGTAAATCATGGGTGTGAGTCCAGATCCATTACATATCCTCTTCCACCCTCCATGTTCCTCTTTCTAAAGTGAGGGTAATAATATCCACCTTGAAATGTTCTCTGAGGCTCAAACATGGCTAAGGTAAGGAGGCGCTAGTACATACCATTCTGATTGTTATTTTTTTCCTAAGATAGACAGTAGAGTAGAGTGGTTAAGAGCATAGAGCTCTGAAACAAGCCTGCTGGATGCCACTGTCACATGATCTTGGGCAAGTCTCTTAACCTCTCTGTGCCTCAGTATTCTCACCTGTAAAATTACTACAGTACTAGAACCTACCACCATAAGCATACTGTATTCAAAGGGACCGAGCATATTGACTGTTGAGTGCCAGTGCCTGGAGCAGCGATGGGCAGAGAATAGGGTTTCAATACAGAGAATGAATGGATCCCTAGCTAAACANTGGAGTTTGTTGTTGCCATGAATGTGTTACTTAGATTATTATCATGGGGAAAATTAGAGTATGTTAAAGGGAAAGGAAATGCGGGCAGGATGCGTTGGGTAGGAGACCATGGAGCAAGGAATTGTAGGAGGCCGGGGAACTGGGCAGGTGGATAACAGTGTCCCAAGGGAAAAATCAAAGCAGGTGTGTGCCTTATGTGTTTGAGGGGCGGCTAGGAGGTCCTTGTGACTAGAATGAAATGAATGAGGCGATAGAAATCTGGGATGTGGTCCAACAGTTACAGGGGCCAGATCATCTAGACTTGGAGTCATTTAAGAATTTTGGCTTTTATTCTGTGTGAGATGGGGAACGTTTGTTGGGTTTTTAGCAAATGGGTGATACGATAGGACTGAGTTTATAGAAGGATTTCTCTGGTTCTAGGTTGAGAATGGACTGTAGGGAGACAAAGGTGGAATCAGAGGGACCTATTAGGAGGCTGGTGCCGCCATCCAGGTAGGAGGTGATGGTAGCTTGCACAAGGTTAGTAGCAGTGGAGTGGTCAAGTAGTGAATATATTCTGAAGGTAGAGTCAGCAAGATTTCTTGGATGGATTGGGTGTAAGCTGAGTCAAAGAGCAGGGGAGTCCAATGCTTGTATGTTGTTCTATCTCTTACTGAGATGGGGAAGACTGTGGGTGGAATAAATTTGTATCATGTAAGCTGAGGAATAGGAGTTAGTGTGAGCTGTGAGCTGATAACTCTGTAGGACAGAGGGAAAAAAGTTAGAGTCCATGGGACACTAAGGGAAGGAGGAAGAGGAGGGGGTTAAAGAGAGAGAGAGAGGGAAGCTCATCTATAAGGTTGGTGAAACTCCACAGTGGAGGTGGTGGTGAGAGAAGACAAAAGACCTTGTTAGTAAGTAGATTCTCCTTTACTGTTATATGCATTTCAGAGATTGCGTTAGTTTCCTAGAGCTGCCATAACAAAATTACCACAAACTTGGTGGTATAAACAACAGAAACTTAGCATCTTACAATTCTGGAAGCCAGAAGTCTGAAATCAGGGTATGGCAGGGCCATGCTCCTTCTGAAGTTTCTAGGGAAGGATCTTTCCTTGACTCTTCCAGCTGCTGATGGCTTCAGGCATTCCTTGGCTGATTATCATAATTCCAACTTCCGCCTCCATCTTCATATAGTTTTACCACATGTTTCCCTCTGTCTTCTTCTGTTTTATCTCTTAGAAGGATACCTGTTGTTAGATTTAGG